TTAGGGCCTGTATATTGCACAATGTTCATGTTATATTCGAATGCTTGTGGGACTCCTAATCTTTAAATAGAGCTACATGGTAAGGCTTAGAAACAGAAGCCTTGTGATCCTTTATAGCAGATAAAATAGCCCTACTGTATGTAAAATGCTCCCTTTTTGTTTTCTGCATTATTTTGGTACAAGTTTGTTTATTCCCCACATGATTTAACACAAAAACAAGCGTCCAGTAGAAAATGTTACATTAGAATATTATATTTACATATGTTTAAGTACTGTAGAGAGCTATGGCTGTTAATAACTATTAATGCCATTAATAGAAAAGAAATGCAAAAAGAAACATTTATAAATATTTCGCCCCATACTTAAAATTTCACTTTACCTTAATGGAAAAAAAAAAACCCAAATTATGTTCAGTGTCTGTTACAATATCTGGTTTACAAAACTGGAAGTCATCGGTCAAGCATTTTCAAACCTAAACAATCTGTCCATAATCTGAAGGAAAATAAATGAACTGAATCTGCAGCAAGGTGCCTGCAGGAGATACAAGTCATTAGTTCACTCTGCTGCACTGGCCACAGTTAATGTTTTCATCTGCAAGGAAGAAAAAATGATCTGAAGCAAAAATAAATTGAGAAGTCTGCCTCCCTGCACAGCACAGATAAAGGAAACCATCTCTTCGTACAAAATTGTCTGTAGTGTTTTTTTTTTTACTATTTGCTTGTTTTGTCTGTGTTAGCAGTAGCCAGTAAAACAGTGGTTTTCTTGTCAGTCATTCACTTCGACACATTAAGAAAGAGGAAAAAGCTATTTCAAAACCACCAACTGTAAAAGTGACTTATTACTGAAGGCTGCTGTAAATATCGTGGTCAAAGAAAACAAAGTGCAGTAAAACAACAGGGGCTTAAAATGTCTTGGACAGAAAAGCGGTCTTGCTTTTGGCCTTTTAACTGATGGAAACCAAGCAATTTGCAAAGAAGCAGAATGTGAACTGCCTCCATGCGCTATGTGGTGATAGTTTGAACCTGTTGGAACAGGTTCGTTTCCAATAAATGTTGGAATAACTTCATTGCCTTAATGAAAGCACAATTTTACCTTTCCTTGTCATCCAAGCACAGTGATGCAATTGCTTTACAAAAACAACTAGACGCCAGCTCCGTGTTGTCCCGTCTTAATTGCCAAGGTCAGTTTTTATTTCTTTTCTTTGACCTTCACTAGCTGCTGTGAGTACTGTATCTTGCTGATGAATGAGAACAGCACTGGCGTTTGTTGATTAACCTCTACAGGGTTGGACTCCGGTGGTGCAGGAACAGGATTTGAGGTTCTTGACTTATCCCAGCTCTCACGGCCCCTCCAGGGGTGTGCGGTCCTGGAGCCTTAGTGAGCTCATGTCTGAGGGGAAGTGAAACTCCATGCCCCTTTTTGGTTATAAAGCCTGAGGTCACATCAGTGGTTTGCCACAGAACTCTGGAGCTGACATCACCGCATGGTGAGGAGCCTGGATTTCAGAGATTGGGGTGGGAGTGTGACTGCTGCTCAGAGTATTCTCTCCCTCCACCCTCAGCACAGTTTCCCCCACTCAGTCTGACACAGACCCCTGTAGGATTGAACTCTTTTTCTCCAAAATGGTTTAAGAAACTTTAGGGCTATAAAAAAGGGGTAATTGCTTCTTTGATTTTTGCCTTAAGAAGACCAAATTGCTAAGGCACTATACCCATTTAGCGCTGTAAAACATTGGTCAGCTTCACGTTTTCTTTAATTAAATAAAACGCACGTTATAAATTTACTGAGCCAATGTTATATAAAGAGCCTTACATTTTTACTGGAGCCAATGGAGTAAAATACCTTGCTCAAGATGCTTGCCCACGAGATGTGAAACCACAGCCTACCAGTTAAAAGCTCAGAACCTTCACCGCCGTACCGCATTGCAATCTACACACTTACATGTGTTCCTTACAATGGTAAAATGATTAAACAGATCTCTGGAACTGTGTATACGTTACGTCTGATCATTTTTATAGAAAAAGGCTCTCGTATTACTAAGCCTGCTACCTTGTCACGGATTAGAGTTTGTGTAGGCGAGTCACACTGAATTGTACATTGTACAATTTTACTAATGTTTCTGGCCCCCAATTGTGCAGATTTTTGTTTCCAAGTAATATATTTCTGATTACTATCTGGATTATATTTCAGGATTACAGAACTGACAGGCTCTCTTTATCTCAGTACATTGAACCAGTCCTGAGGGGCTGTTAATAGTACGACGCACAACTGCACTTATCTGAAAACCACATAGTGGTGTCCAACTGAATTGTGTATTGTGTATTATATGATATATATAGGTGTATATTTAAGGAATAATTAAATAGAATTTTCTGTTATTTTAAACATGTACATGCATTTTTTTCAAAGGGTTTTGGCTTTGTTTTCCTGTAAAAAAAACATGGCAAATTTATTTGAAGACCGGGCCAGTTTCTCCTTTTTCTAAACCTAAATTAAATATGTAGAAAATTACATTGTGGATGTCTGGAAGCAAGCCAGGTCTGAAACATATTGATAAGTCAGATGAGTGGATTTACTTTGCATTAATCAAACTCTACGGTTTGCAGACCAGATGCTGGAATACATAGCAGGCTGTTTGAAACTCCAGTGTTTTAAGGATATTGGAGTTTTTGACACACATCGGTGGTCTCTTGGGCTTCCAATGGAAGTTTATTAAACCTTTGTGAGCACGTATTGACATCTTCAGACTGGGGGGGGGAGCACAGCCAGGCTCTGTGTTAGTGAAAGGCGAAGATTATAATTAACCATCTGGAGTTTTTTTTTTAGATTCAAATAAGTTATCACCTGCCGACTCTGAAGTTTAGGTGAGATGTAATTAAAAAAGACCTCTTTTACTGCTTGTAATATGCTTGGGTGTTTTTACTGTAATAGTCTATGAATTTGTATTTATCAAGTACAACACTTAATACTGTACCAAACATGCGTTTGGCTACTAAGAAGCCATTCATGTTATTATGCCTGACCGTTAAGCTGACCATCCCAGTTGGATTGGAATGGGGTGAGGTGTCAGCAATTCAGGCCTTAACGTTCAGCTCGCTGTGTAAACGGGTAACCCATTCAAAAATGAAAATGATGCATACAGTATCACAAGAAAAGGGATGAAGGTCACTTGTTGCAACAAATGTCAACCAAATAGCTTCTCCTCATTTATTCTCTTTTTATAAATCATGTTTTCATGTTTCATTGTTGCTGTGCATTTTCATTTTCTCCTGAGAGGGTTTCCCAAAAGCATGTTTTGATTCTCTGATCTGCCGGTCTTAAAAACACCTGATCTTCCATAATTTTTTTTTTGTTTTTTTTTTTGCCCTGGTCTGTAGACAGCACGAAAGGTAGCGCACACCAGTGTTGGAAGTGACCTGAGCAGAGGACAGCATTAATGGGGAAATAATGGCACTTTCATTTAGCGTCAGCAGTGAGGTACTTTGTCTTCATACACCTGCCAGGGAGCAAACGAATGCCACAGGGCATCTGCCTCGTGCTGTAGAGCAGAAACGACACCAAAAGCAATTTGTTTTCAAAACCACTGACTGGAAAGACATCTCCAAAAACACAGCCAGCAGTAATGGTCTGTTAAAAGATGACACAGAGTTCTGTAAAACCGAGCAATTGTTCAGATTACAGTAACTTGGTCTGGAGGTGGCTGGCTGTCTGGAGGACAGTGGGAAATGGCATCAGGTGAGAGATTATTGAAGCTAATCCAAGCCAAAACATCACTGTATCATATGGATTTAAGTCTGAGGTAAAATGTGAATTAAATGAAGTGATTTATGGGTTCGCCATATGCACCACATCCTGCTATATTGAAATGAACAAAGTGGGCAGTCTTGGCCGAATACGTCTGCAAGAGCCGTTTTAGAGAAATGAGGCCATAAATACAAGTATATCATGCAGTGCTTGATTCAGATATTTAGTGTCTATTCTGTATTCAGAGTTATTTGTGGAAAATTAAAGAATTCCATCTTTTTGGGGAGGCAGCGATACTTTTGCATCCTGTACATGTTAAATTAGGTGGTGGAAAGCCTTTTCAACAGTGGTAAAAATTGCTTGAGGGATAAAATTCAATAAAACGAAGGTGGCAAGCTTTTTTTTCTGTAAGGGCTCCTTCCAGCTCTGTCACTCCTAATAAGCTCTTTCTTAATTTTTATTGTATCAAGTTCTTAATATAACTAGTGCAATAATTTTGCCGGTTTGACATTCAAACGCTCCCATTCCAGGTCCAGAATGTTATCTGGGTCTTCAAATTTGCCAGTACCTTAAGACTTTTTGAGAAAAGTGAACCTGATTCAGTTAATTGCTGCTACCCATTTTATGGTAGAGTGGGCTGGAGCAATTGTTGTAAAGTATCTGGGCTCTTGGGTAGAATATCAGTAACAGGGATTTTATTCAGAGACCTAGAACGCCTGCTATAACGTACCTCATAAGAACTGGATTGAGAAGCAGCCATCTTAAACGGGAACTGCAGTCCCAATTTAATTCCAATTTTGTAAAAATTGTGAAAGTACTGTATGGTCACCATGCTGTCACAAACCTCCGGTCCCACTATGGACAAGAGCGAGAGTTTGCATAAATTGATGTGGCCCTTCCTGCTCACTAGTCACTGTAATGACTAATGTAAATATCACCGGATGTTTGGTTGCCTTGTTCTGAATCGGAGAGTGTCTCTGTGGAATCTGGAAATTCTGTCCATTTTGTGATTTTAATTGGAGGTTTTACACATTCCTGTGTACATTCTACTTTCGTTGGGGTTGGAAATGCACTCATCGGCGCTGATTCTTTCTAACCCCAAAATATAACATAGCGTTGCAGTTCCCCTTTAAGCAGGTGCTGGAATTGTCTCCCAGAAGAAAAGTAAACCGTCAAGCAGTAAGGGGAGTTGGAACCTGTTGGAAGGGTCCCATGTGCACGCGGGCTCCTCACAAGCTCTTTGTTTTGTTTGACAGCTGACTCCTGGGGGGAAGGCTGCCCAGGCAGGCGTCGGGCCCGGAGACTGGGTGGTTTCCATTGACCACGCCAACGCTGAGGAAATGACCCATGTGGAGGCGCAGAACAAGATCAGAGCTGCTGGGGACACTCTCACGCTTTCTCTGAGCAGGTACTGGATTCAACGGCTTCGCGTCGCCCTCCTCTCAACTCTCCTCTCGTCTGGCATGCAGGGTCATAAGTCTAAAATCCTTTAGTATAAAAAAAGAGGTTAGAGCTTCTTGGGAGATGGGCACTGCGGACGGGCAGATGGATGAATGGGACTGTAAGTTTGGGGAATTGAATGGTAACATTTCTTTGACTGTCATAACATCACATTTGAGCCAGAAATGAGAAATGTAGAAACTGCTGGGGGTTTAATTTGCTGGCTTTCGTTTTGGCAAGACTAGACATCTATAACAAAAACTATTTGAGGGGGATGGACAGTTATTTCAACTGTCCCATATGGGCTTTGTTAGCAGGCAGGCTCCTGAAGGAAGCCCTTTCTCGTATGAACGGAGTAGGGAGAAAGGCATGCCCTGTGGTCTAACATGAAAACGTTTGTTACCCCAAATTCTTTGTAATACCTCACTGAGACTCTTTGCCCCCAGTCTTCAAGGTTAAAAATGTGGCCACATGAGATGATTCTAAAGCCTTATTGTCTTTCAGTTCAGAAGTCTGTTAAAAATCCTGCCCTAGTACAACAATATATTGTGGTTTACGATCTTAATAATGAAACAGTAATTTGCATTTGTGTGTAGTGGTGCTTTGGGGACTGTATTATGATCAATGCGGGGCTGACATTTCCAAATCTGGTCCCACCCAGATACGAACTTAAAAACCTGCAACCTCTCCACTATTTAAATGACCTTTTTATCAACCACACTGCATCATCTCCTGTAACTAGAAGCACTTTTTTAATTTTGATTCGATTTGCACCCTGTATGGAGTTCCGTTTTATTCCGTCGGGAAGAGTAAATAAAATGGAATTAAGGGGAGTGGGAAGGTCCCACAATAATATAGAAATAGAGGTATGTGTGTGTAAATACAAGAAGGGAGAAAATCGATTCAATATAATGGCATTCACTTTGGATTCAGTTTTTCTTATTTTTGCTGTTTAGAGAAACTCAAGTTTTACTGAGTTTCCTTTCTTGATCCCTTGACATGTATCCTATTATCCTTGCATACCTGTAAAATTTCCCTCAGTAAATGCCTATATAAATGTTTCCTTACCTGCAAGCTTGTGACAGCCTCATAGTTTATGAAGGAATTATTTTACAAGTCTGTTTGTATCTTTGACAGCTTTTAAATTTGTACAGCCAGCAGACCTTTATAAAGACAGATGAAAGCGAATACCATGCTGTAGTCAAGGTGGTGCTTCCCTGCCAGCGCAGCTTGAAATATTGATCTTTCCTGATTTGCTTTATGGCGCAGTTTACTTTAAATCTTTCACTTAAAGTATTTATAGAGTTCTGAGTGGTGCATTCTCATGTGGCTGGCTGGAAGAACAACACTGTAGTGCAGTCCTGTTTTCTTGGGATTCAAGAAAAATGTGATGTAATCTGATCGAGTCATAATCCATCTGAGAGTGTTTTCAGTAAGAATTGCGAAATTGACAGGGGTGTCTCGACAATCTCCTTACCTCATTTAGGAGTTTTGTTACAGCTCATGCATTGCTAGTGCTGACTCTTTCCATCTTTTGTTGATTCTAATTTACTGATTGTGCTGGACCTGTGGATGCAATGGACATCAGACAGAAGGGATATGGCTAACAATCGGCGGTATGCCAATTAGTGCAGCTACATCCCTGCTTTAGGGCCCTGGATTCGATCTGAGCCTCAGGCTTCTGTCTGTATGGAGTTTTTTGTGGCTTTTGTGGATAATTTGTACTTTCCTCCCATATCCCAAAGATTTGCCCTGTAGGTTAGACAGTTTGTTTTTAAATTGTTCCAGTCTCTGTTGGTAGAGCATCAAAGGTCCGTCTGGTTAGAAAGCAGTTGTGTTCCTGGTCCTGCCTTGGACCTTGCACACACTGTAGGCTCCTCCAGATTAACTTAATGAGTGGCTGTCGCCAATAGTGAGTGGATGCAGGTATTATTTTACAGTCCTACAGTCCAGTTTTGGGTAGATTTTGTTAATTTTTTTTTTAGAGATAAAATCTGAAATGCCAGGGAAATAAAATACTCACTCACTTCTGGAGCTGTCGATATTCCACTGTAATGATGCATTTAAGCAATTATTGTGTATTTGTAGCTATTCTGATAAGTGGCTTAATGATGGGAAGGTCCATCTCAATGGGTTATCAGGCAGCCACAACATAAATTAGGACAGATACTCTGAACAGTAGATTCCAGTAGATCTTGGATAGGTTTTAGCCAGCACTTGACTTCTTAGAATACTCAGAATAGGAGTGAGTTGCAATGTAATTGAGTTGAATTCCTGTTGGGTTACTGGCAGTGAAATCTTAAGAGCAGTACTTCAAATGGATGAAATGAAGGCTTGCCTCTTCTTTTAAAGTCAAGAGGATACTTTACGTTTTTGGAATGGATTGGGGAGCAAGAGTTTTCTTTTTATGAACTTCTTCCATATTCTTCCTAAAGCTGAGCATTTGAATGGGCAGGGGTTATCTGCTCGGAGGTGGGGAAGGAAACTAAACAAGCCACTCATCACTCTTCAGTTCAAGCCTAATTTGTTTGTACAAGACGCCTGCTTGCAAAAGAATTGTCTGTGGCACTGAGACACAACAGTGTAAAAAAACAAAAAACAAAAAACTGACCCTCGGAAAACTTGTGTTAATGCTGTAATATGGTGGATAATGCTAGTGCTTCACTGCCCTTGAGTCCTGGGTTCGATTCTGGCCTTGGGTTCGTGTCAGACTTAGGGGCACATGTTCTCCATGCATTTGCATCCCTTTAGTGCCTCTCTCTCCCCTGTGACTAGTTCTGGTTATAGGGCAGACATGGTACAGAGGCAGTACCAATGGGGAGTTAGGAGAGGCTGACAAACCATAATGGTCCTGCGAGTTTGAACAATTTGATGTGTTTTAGACAGGAGGCCTGGGACACTGCTGATATGTTCAGGACATCATTTCTTCTCCTGGCTTCCCTTAAACTTCAGGGTTTCTCAAGAGTTGCATTTTACATGCTCCCATAAGATGAACATGATGCTTGTGGGGAAAAATAAAGCTCTTTCTGTTTTTTTGGGATGGAGGCAGGATTCTGGTGGTTTTATAGAATGTTGACTTCAGCACCAGAGATCTCAAGAGTGCTGTGTCTTTAGGAGAATTGAAGGCTTTTTCAGGAAAACCCAGCACTTTATAATTTCCTCCAGGGACATTTCCTGCAGCATCCCAAATGCTTTCATGTGTCTTTCCTCTATTGTCCTTACACTTGTTGGCGTTTTTCCACAGTCCATTCCTACATAAGCAAATTGCTTCATTTTTATATTTGTGACCTTCCTGAGGGTAATCATGAGTAATTGCTTCTTAAAGATGGAATAGGGTTATTATTTTTGGCAGGATAGCTTATTCTGGAGGATAACCAAGCTTTTACAGAAGAAATGAAAAATGAATCAGTACAAGTCTTCTCCAGATGGGTCTGGCTTTCTCAACTCCGGCTTTAATAGCCTCTTAATAAAAGTCTTAACGTTTCTTTTCTAACCTTCGTTTTACCCTTCATTCCAACTGCGTTTCAGTAACTGTAACTGTCACTTAGGTTCAGTCATCAAAACCCTGATTTTTTTGCCAGCGGTCTATATAACAAAAAGCGACATACTGTTCGGACTGTAGCATGGTCTTTCCTGATGTAGGTAGAACAGTCTCATATTTCTGTCTTCGTAGGCCAAGTACAGCACAATTCTCATAAAAATGAAAATGCCATGCCTCATGAAAAGCATGCTATATATTTTGAAGTTACAGTATTCCTTTTCTGATTGAATGTTTGATTGCTGGCAAAGATCTTTGTGATGACAGTGAGATGCTTTTGAAATTAGCAGAGTCGTGTGTTTTTTCTTACCTCCTTGGTTTCTTAAAGAGGAAGTAATAAGCAAATGCTTGTCGAAAGCCTTCTTCCTTATCTTCAAATAGGCGATTTTCATGAGGAGGAAAATACTCAGTCCCGCTAATGTAGTGTGATTTATGAATCAAAACTTATTTCATCCATCAAAATTAATATACAGTATAAAAGACCTACTACTATACAGTTCTCTCAAATTATTTTGATTTCTTGCCGACAGTAGAAATTGAGCTGTTGCCTGATTATGGATAGGGTGATTTGAGAAGATATCTTCTGTTTTCTAAATAGGACTTCTGAAAACTCAATTGGTACTTGAATAGCAAAATGCAAGGCTAAGGGCAACAACCTTTGGCGTAAAACTTAGGCTTTATTAGAAGAAATATACCTGTATTCACTTTAATGGCTGTACATTACTAATGGTGTACTTTATTTTTAGATTGAACAAAAAATGGCATCAGAAGTTATTGCAATAGTTTTGGATAACATTTAATACCATCTGTAAAATATTTGTGAATATTCTGAAATATTGCCTTTGCTTGTGGTTTTCCCATCTGTTCCTTTTGACTGTAGAGTCTGGGTGCTACCCCTGTATTTGTCTTCATTCTTAAATTTACAGCCCTCTGTTTACACTCTTGCAGACCTGCAACAAGACCTGTTATTACCTGTTTTCATCTGGAGTTTTGTTCCTTCTTTTACAATTTACAGCTCTATTATTCTGCCTCCCTAACTGTGTGCGTATACTGTATAGACTTTTAAATTTTTCAGAGCATTCAGACCCCTTCTGTTTCTCTTCTCCTTCGTTAAAAGCCCATTCTTGGTTTTCATTGGCTTTAGAAAGCATTGATAAATTGTCGTAGAACAACACTCTTTCATCTCGTTTCTCTGTACTTTTTACCTTTCCATTATCTCCTCTTGTAGAAATAGTCACTTGAGCACATCAGGGTTTCTGTTGCTGAACTGTACTTCTAGCCTTGACTTGCAGGACTGTGGCCCTGCTACCACAGTGCATTTCCCTGTCTTATTGTCGACACATGTAGATATTAACCTCTCAGCATTGTGAAGGGAGATAACTAGAGAGTTATTTCAGCTTGTTGCAGGAAGAATAGCCCGTTGTCTGTTTCCTGTTTATAACCCACTGGCTACCATATGCATAGTGTTGGAGTCTTGCTTAGCTGTCAAATTGGGCACATGGGGAACTAGGTTTGGACTGATAACTCGAGTGGCCGCAACACCCCCGCAAGATAACAACCATTCCAACCATCATGACGAGTGATACAGGAAGAAATGGCCTATCACAGGGTTCACAAGCTGGGTTTGTACAGAAAACTGCCATCCAGACGTGCTTTTTTCTGTTAGTTTAAGAATGCAAAGGCTTAGTGGCTTATGATACATTCAAGCACCATTTTCCTTAAATGAAATCTGAAAGAAAAAATGGAATTTGAACTGAGCTGTATAAAAGCTCAGTAGCTTTTATACAGAGCAGGAGAACAAGTCGAAATATTTATTGACTTTTTTTGTATTATGCCGGTTAATTCAGTTCATTTCTTGTTCTGCCGGAGTGTGCTGCACAAATGTGAGGGTGCTAAAACTGCAAAGGATAAGTGCTGCATTTTCTTTAACTCTCAAATGTGGGGAAGAAAAAATCCGAACATTTAACCAAGAACAATTCAGGTTACAGATCATGGGGACCTTAACAGCCCAGTTTTGGGATGTTTTTTTTTGCGTAGCTTGTATCTTGATTTTCTGGTGGGTTTTGCTTTAGGTCACCATGCAGAACTGTTCCTGTGTTTTCCATATTTAATAAGTTAACTCCTCCACACACACACACACACACACACACACACCTCATGCTTGCAAGATGGCTTTAATCCTGTTTGTTCCATTACACTAATTTGATTTATACAAGCCTCTCTCTGCAGCCCTGACTTCAGAACATGGTGTAGCGATATCTCCACCCTGACCTAGATGCTGTTTTGTTTGTGACCTTCTCCGACTGTCTGACAAGCCCCGAAAGCTTTGGCTTCCTACCACAGCTATCGAATGTTTCTTCTGAATGATCCCTGTACGTGTGCATTCGAATTGCTTCAAGATGTTCATCACAGAAAATATTTTCTGCTGTGGTTGTTGAGTATTACTTGAATACAGATCAAGAAATTTAAAAATTGTTACCAGCTGCTTACTTGGTCATCGGTGACCAGAATGAAGGGGTCACCATATGGGTTGGAAAAATGAAGATGAGTTCACTGTAGCATGCCACTAACCGTTTCAGAGTTCACAGTTTCTGTGGGTCAGAAAGAAATAAGTTTTGTTTTGGCAGGGTTAATGTAAATTTTCTATTTATCAAATTCTGATTCTTGATTGTCTACACATTGCACGCAAATAATCCTTACAGTTTAGGCAAATTTATATATTTTGCATATGGAAATGTTGATCTGCAGTTCCGTCTGTGATGCCAATCAGTGAGTACCACGATATCTACAGAATGTACTCTTTTTTTTTTTCTGTGCTTTTTTGAAAACATGTATTTCATATGGGGCAACATAGTCTTATGACTATAATAGCTAAACTTGTATGTAGACTTATGGAGCAAAATACCGGATGCTTTGCATTTTATTCTTTGTGGTTCTTGATCTGTCCAAATTACTAATGCTTTCTGACCGTTTCTGATTAATGTTGTCCAATCGAAGAAACATCATACTTATAGCATTCCTTGAGCCCCCTGCTTTGTTGTGCCGGCAGTTTTCTTTAGTTATTTGTTTCTTCATTTAATGGAACGTTTTTTTTTTCCCCATTTACTCATTTGTAATCATGTTTTACGAAGCCAGAAGGTAAAATGCAATTCAATTTAATGTCCCAGTGGGAGCGCTGGTAATGTGAATGGAGGCTACATTTGTTACATGCTCTGGTATTTGCAAACAGCTCTGAACACACTGATGGCTGGGGTCATGTTACAAAGTGCTGCTATTTCCGCACTAACCTTAGAGGCTGCTATGTATATAAATTAAACTGTGTATCATGTCAATTGCATTGGTCCTTGGGTATTTTGTTTCCATCTCATGTCATGGTTTTTCACACCAGGTTATCTCTTGATTTAGTTTGGTTTAAGCTGAATCATTTACTCACCTGGTTGGAAATGTTTGTGCGGGAGTCTGAAAGCAGCCACACTATAGAGCACATTGAACAAGAGAACGTGTTGGCATTTCTGTCTGCATTTTGGATTTACGGGTTTTATCATTAGTTATTACAGTAGACATGAAATATGTTTTTTATAAATGCTTTTGGAGCCTTAAAATTTGGTGCCATCATAATTTTAGTAGGTCTTAAATATTGGAACATGGAATTTAAATGAAACCTATAACTCGACCACCCATCGGAAATCCGACTAATCCTTAACGTTTCCTTTAGAAAATAATACAATGTTTTTGTAATTTTTGGGAAGGTCAAAGTTAAAAAAAATTACTTCTTTGCTTGAGGGAAAACGCATAAGCCAACATAAATAACAAATTTTCTTAGTTCCATGAATTTTTTCAACCCTGTCTAAAAAGCTGTAAAACCTTTACAACCCTTTTAAATTTCCATAATTATAGCCTTAACTTATGATTTTCAACTGGGGGAAAATGGATTTCAGTGCACTGTTAAATATATCACTGTTACACATATCTATATATAAAAAAGGATCTAATTCTAAACAGTTATTGTATTCAGGTCAGAAGAAGATCAGGGAGGCCATTAAAAATATTTATTTGCTTGGTAACCTTGGTAGTAAACTAGCGTCTGCAGTATACGATAACGTAAATTATTTTTTCTTTCAGAGCTTTCCACCCTGCTGGATCAGAACAGAAGGTAAGATTTATATTTACTGCATTAGTGGTATGTGAACAAAGTGTGAATAATGTGTGGATGCCACCTAAATTGTAAATACACTCAATTATGTAGATTACTACAGTGAAAATGATGTGAAGGAACCAAGGTCATCTGTAGCTTATACAGTAAGTCCCTACCTGCAAAGTATTTCAGAATAAAACAATCCTTCTTCAAGACTCAAATTTAGTAATGCCAAACCCCAGCAAATATCCTGTGAGTTTATAACAGTATTTACTATAAAATATGACATTTTAATTTGAATTAACATCAATATGAAATAGCCAGCAAAGCCCTTGTTATGACTGGAGATAGCTGGGCTATTAGATTCAATATTAGCAATTAAAATCTCAACAGGAGGAAAGTTAGCTTCGTTTTCTGATACTTGATGTTCCGACTTGGTAAATGAACTCAGGATTGTCCTGTTGAAACACCACATGACTGGGAAGCCCTGTTCACACTTACCCTGTGCCAGGACTGTCAGTGATCCTACCCTAAGATGGTGGCATCTGAGCAGTGAAAATCTCAAGACTGGAGCTTGCATGAAGCTACTTCCCTTTCTGACGCATCCCTCATTTTGCTGAAGCGTTATTCACTATTTGTTCAGCTGCAAGTGTGATGACTGGATAATTTGTTAGTGCCATCCTATTAATCCTATTGATATCCCACTAGTCCTTGTGTGATGTGAAGTATGGTTCTGAGTGTCTTAAATGTGCAGGCTGTCCCAGATGACACACCACTGTAAAACCTGTTGGAAAGTGAACTCCTGGTCAGGATGTAATGTCAAGACTGAGATGTGATAAAGCATGCATTTAGCCATTAAAATAGGAAACTTCTCCCAATTTACATGGCAACTATTGGAGTTTCAAAAGGTATGCAGGGCTGCCATCTTGTGGCTCTTTTCTGCTACAAGCTGCATTGTTTTACTTGTTTTCATTTTCAGTCTCGTAATTATTTCAAAATCGGAAATTTTCTGTGCACTCCTTGGGAACGAGTCTGTGGTTCACGTGAAGGTGCAACGGCTGCTCCGAGTATGCTAGGTGCTTGATCTGGTTTGATTCCAGTTCAGCTATTTGCAGGACAGAGGCATGTCCACAGTATGGTGACTGCACACCGGGAATTGTAACATGAATAGGAGCTGGAGATGGTCAGCCCTAGTCCCTATGGTGGAGAAGTGTTAGTAGACTCTCTAGTAGAATCCCATTCTGGATTTCCTGTGATACCTGGGAAATATCGCAGGTACAGTTCTGGTTTCACACCCTAAGTGGAACGTCTGAGAATAGGCATTTTTGAATAATCAAAACGTTGGTTTTCCAGTAAATATCCACAGAAGTATTAAAGTAGAATTTTTTGTTGCACCTGCTAACTTCTATGCTGTTAGCACCTCCCTCTCCTTTTTTCAGAGATCGTGAATGCAATAATTTGTGCAGCCTGCAAAATATTTGATTGTTGAAAGTAGCACCATCATATTTAAATCTTTAAGATGTAAACATCTTTCTATCGTGCTTTGAGTGTTAAACAACTATACTTTAATTTACGCTAAGATACATAACAATCTGCAACCATTCCAATAATTATTCTTTGGTACAAAGATAGCCTGTGTAGAAAATCTTCTTTTCTCTCTGTGAGCAAAAAAGGAGTGAATTTAACAGGTGTCTATGCATCTGGGACACACTGCCAGATAATTATTCTCTAACTGCATGGCATTGTGGGTTTTGCTGTATGTTTTGTTTTTATTCAGGAGTTGCTTGCTTCTGCCTCCAGTCAGCCAAAGTACTCGTTTGCTCCCAGCATGTCTTTAAACAAGATGCCTCGGCCGTTCATCTCCGGCTCTGACGATACAAACTTGGGGCCAGTGACGAAACCAGTGACATACGTCCCCACCGCGCCGAAATTTAATGCCCCAGCTAACGTGCTGCAGCAACACAATGGGTAGGTGAATTTAAACCTCAACCTAGTAATGCTGTTTCGGAATGGCCTTGAAAACTGGAGATGTGGAGAGCATTTGTAGTTTTCTGGGAAAGTATGAAATGCCATGTTGGGCAAAACTGAAATTTCATCTGACTGGTGCCTATTCGGCATTTTGGTTGCCAATTTTTTGGGGTTTTGTATTCTTGTTTATTTCTACTATTTACATGTGGTTTTTGTGATTTGATGGAATTAATTCAAAGTGGGTTGTATGTTCCTCTATGACCAATGAAAACGTGTAGATGTCATAAATAGGTATTGAACTTTTACATGTTTCATCAAGTGGTTTATAAGGCCTTCCATAATATTTTTTAGATACTGTATGGATAGATGTTAAGGGTGAATTTTATCATTGTGAAAAGAGGGGGAAAAAAACTGCTTGATTGTGATTTGATGACCTGTGGACCATCATTGTGTATGCTATGGTGAATGGTTGGATTTAAAGGCCTGAACCTTGGGTTTGTAGTCCGAAGAAGATACATTTTTAACTTTCATAATATATAGAATGTCACTTTTCACTGCAACACATTCACAAAGTTCTGAAGGAAATGACTATTTTTATATCCTGCTCATTTAAAATGGTATTGCACTGTGACATAAGTAAAGTAATTACACTGATGAATATTTTGGTCATCAGCAGGAGGTTTACTGTGAAGTGTCTAGCAGGGTGTGTGGGCGCTGCTGGAAGCAATACAGACTGTACATCTGCGATGCATTTTGCGTTGGATGCTGTTGTGTGGGATTGTGTCCTTTTCCTCTTGGGTTGTGCTCACTGGTTTCTGAGCCCTAGGTGTCACATGTCGTCCTCCAGAACCATCCCACGAAAGTTCGATGGGGATCATGTGGTTCTTACAGGTGTTGTCCTGCTGGAGTGTGGTCTTGCTCAGGTTGAGCCCCCAGGAAGGGATGTCCCTGAGGTTGATCAATGTATTGCCTTGCAGTTAGGTCTTTATCAAGCACTGAGTTGAGTTCTGAAGAAGATGGACTCCTGCCCAGACCATCATCCTCTCCACCCTCCTTGGAGAGGAGTCATGACCTCTTGATCTTCCAGATTGTGGTCAATCTTGGACTGACTGACCTCGGTCTCACACCAGCTGTCTTGCACCTCATCTCAGACCGGAAGTGACCGACGCCATGCTCACTTAATCCAGCCTCCAGCAAGCCAATGGCTAAGCTATTGTTCTCTTGATCCCTTGTGGGTGTATTCTTTTTTTCTCAATGTTTCACCAGGGTATTCAATAGATTTAGGTTCCCCATCAAAGGAAATTTAGTGCAACAGTTTGAATCACTCAAGTGTACCATGGTCATGAATGATCAGCACCTAAAATAAACTTTGTTTTAGAAAAAGTATAAAAAAATTGAATTTATTTTGACAATTAGTAATTATAAGATAAAATCACTTTATTGGCCATATACAATTTGTTGAATTTCGCATACCCCAACTTGCTCTCCATGAGACACACAGATAGGGAGAGAAGCTGGATGTCAGAGTGCAGGGCCAGCCATTTATACGGCACCCCTGGAGCAGTTGGGGTGAAGGGCTTTTCTCAGGGGCCCAACGGAGTAGAATTCCTCTGCCAGCCCCTGGGATACGAACCGGTAACCTTCCAGCAACAGGCGCAGATTCTGAGCTACAGAGTCACCACACTCCCCCTGTTATTTTGTCAGAAACAAATCCTTGTGGTCGTGCAATCATTTCTTGCAGTGTTACTCTAGTGGTAAAGATTATTTGTTAATCAAGGGGGGCTTGGTCAGATTGCCCTTGGTCGTCCCCGTTAGTCATTGGGCACTTTTTTGGAGAGGGTGTGGGGGCCGTCTGTATGTGTTCACGGTACTTGGCAGATAGAATTTGTACTTTGAAAAGATCGGTTCTCCTTTATCTACTGTGCCGTCATATGATTGCACACAAGTAAAGGGATCCACAGTTGGGGCAGCTCTTAAAGTTACAGCGCCCTGCTGCCCTGGTAGGTTGGCAGTGCGCTCGTACTCTCTGTTCAGGCTGTGGTCAGTAATGGGTTAAAAGGGTCAGATCTTGTCTATGCCTGAAGCCGTTTTTAGTTTCCCTCCTTCCCTCAAAATGCGCTGAGTGCTCAAAGCAGCTTTTACTGCAGCCAAGGGTGCAGTATTACCCACCAGCCTTACTTGGAGAGACCGGGGCAGTTTTCTGCAGAGCTAAATCTGTCTGGACAGCCTGGTTACATGCAGGATTTTTAAGTTTCACACGTCCCCCAGTTTAGTGTGCTTTAATATGCAGCTGCTGTGCCTGAACCACTGGAGTTAAAGGGAGCTCGCACCTCTGAGACAAAGGGGACTTTTCATCCCTTCTTTTTAGAAATGAAACCATATGGTTGGCTATATGGTGCCTCTCATTAATAAAATTATTTCTGAAAGCAAATGTTACATGTTTCAAGGGATGCTGCAAAGCATCTCCCATTTTCGATTAAATAGATTTAAAGAACAAGATATAAAGTACATTTAATCACAATTTTTTATATACCGAAGAAGCTGTTTTCTCTTATTACTATGTAAGGAATTTTCATTTTATTATAAAGCAGTTGGTAAAAAATAATTGATCTCTGCTTCAGGTAATGTACTGTATCCTTATTTATTTTTCCCTTTTAAACTCTGCTAATGAGATTGAAGTGTGTATATATATGTCCAAAAGGGAACTCTGGTCACTGTATTAGGGTGTTTTGTTCATGTGATCCAGTGTAGATCCTTGATGTTAAATCCATTGCAAATCAGGTCTCCTCTTCAGTGTATTATAACATCGCAAGAGGCATGATTGCTGATTTACATGCATCTGATGCATTGTTATAGACAAGGGCAGTAGCAGACCTGGCTAGTGTGACAATTCAGGTAGCCCTAGAGGTTTATCGGCAGGGGCTGGCTGAAAAGTCTCTTTAGTAAAAACGAATTCAGGCTGCAAGAAGCAACTGAACCAAAGGGCCAACTAACAGAAGACGCCTAAGCTCTCCTGTATTGCCTTTATTTTTTTGTGTAGAAGATTTTTAATACTGGCTAGGAGGGTCCTTTGCAAAATACTGAATCCAGAAAATGAAAATGGAAATACAGTAAAACTGCGGTTGTTGCTGGTAACCGCTATGCAGGTGGTCCCGGGGGACTAATCAAGAATTCTCTGTTGGTGAATCAAGTCTTATGAGAAAGAGAGTTTCAAGATTTATTTTCACAGTGTAGAGAAAACTTCCTGGAATAGTTGTGAGGGCTTCAAGAGGTCCCAATTGCTTAAGGTCCCAAATGGGGGCCAAGAAATCAAGTTATAAAGCGAAACTTGGATTTGACTTCTAGAAAAGTATAACGCTACAGACCGTATCAGCCTCTTTTCTTTTTGATGGTGCCTTTGTGTCATGTTTATGTACCTTCAAGGGGGTTGCCTGGGTAGAGCTGATTTTCCAAGTTTAATTTTGGCACTGTCACAACATGCTGTCTTACAGAAATGTGCGTTTTATTATGCCCTTGCGTGTGACTTGGCGATTTCAGAAGGATTTACAGGAGGAGTTTGGAGTCACTGAAGCAATGAGAGGAGACAGTTATTCATGGGATGATTGAGTGTTCAGCTAATGTTCTGCCCTGCAAGTCTTCCCAGTTATTCTTCTGTACACAGACTTGCAATTCATCCTGTGTGCCTTTTATTAGATTTTTCTCCCCTCAACCAAGATATCAACTGCATGATCATTTCTAAAAAGAATATGTAATGAATGTAAAATAGCTCATCTCTAGGCCACACTTATGACATCTGTCAAAAAAAATGTGAATCAAATTTTTTATCGCTGCAATTTTTTTGCTCACGGGTTCATGTTTTTCATAACATTGCAGTCGGGTAGTTTTGAAATCGCTGTATACGGGCAAAAATGAGATTACAGGTAAACGAGACGGCTTCTCAGTATCAAATTTAAATTAAAAGCTAGTCCAGTCTATATAGGATTGAGGATTAAGCGCTGAAGCCTGCCACTAATGTCAAGACATGTTGCTTGTAGCATGGAGTTTGGGTTTTTTTTTTTATGCGCATTAAAAAAGCAATTTGCCTCCTGCCAATTTTCTTGAAGTGTTTAAATGATAAATCTCTTCTTCTATGCTTTATCCTAACTGATTCCTTTCCCTCTCTCTTTCTCTGCTCTCTCATCCTGCAGCTGGAGTCTCATGACAAGTCAGTAAGCTTTTTCTGTCATTTCGGCAGTTACTGCAAGAATGTTAGCAGTGCTGTTTGATGGTCACCTGCTGTAAAAGTGAAAATGAAATTAATTTGTTATGCTGGCTGGTCTAACATCCTCCTTTTGCTTTGTCACTTCTAGTCAGAGAAGGGGTGATGGAGGGGGGAGTTAACCTCCATTTTACCCCTGTCACTCGAGTTTAGGTTCTTTGATCATTTACCATGTTTGCTTAAGCATGACTTGAGTGACCCATTGGATTTGTCCTGATCCATGCATGGTGTTTGCAACCATGTAAGGTTTTATCAGTGCATTTTATGTCTATGATTTACACTAGCTGATAAGTCAGCCAGTCTGCAGGATGTTGTGTAATCAGTGTGCTACTGACCCAGATGGCTTACAAAGTAACTGATGTGGAATTGTAGAAGGCAGATACTGTATTGAAACTACAAATGCAAGGAAAATTTTGGATTTAGATCCATTTTGCTTAAAAAAAAACAAACAACCTACCAATACTAGATGATCAATTAGATAAAGATTTGTTGTGCAATCGCTGACCAGCTCAGATTACATTTTTGGGATTTTTGTGGGTGTGCCCTGTGTGTTGATTCCTCTTTTCGTTCATTTTCCTTCCTGTCTTAATCTCTCCTCTCCTTCCTGTTCTCCACCTCTTCACGAATAGGGTGGCTGTTCCTTCACAAATATTCTATGAAGAGATCTACCCCGAGGCCAAGTAAGATCCCAGATGCACATCGGACTAGTTATCTGCTTTTTAACAGTGTTCTCTACAATTAA